ATGTATATGTGCGTAAGTGTATGTATAAGTGAACATGTGAATAAATTAGAATGTTGATAAGTGAACATGTGAATAAATTAGAATGTGTGTAAGTGAACAAGTGCATAAGTAAAATATGAGTCAATGAACATGTGAGTATATGGAGATGTGAATATTAAAGTTCTAGTATGTTAATGTCTATGCACGTATTAATGTTTATATGTATGCAAATAAGTTTATGCATTAATGTATGGATATTTAAGTATTTTACTGTGTATAAAGATATATGTGCATGCATGTTTGAAAGAATGTACATAAGTAAGTGCATGTGTGAATGAGTATGCGTTAAGGTGGATGTTGTATGAGCATCAATTTTATATATGTAAGTTGAAATTTAATAAGTTTCATGCAATTTGAGGCTTTTTATAATTTTCATGCAATTTGGGGGTTAATGAGTTTCATACAAGTTAGGATTTTACAAAATGCAAGCAAGTTGTGTGATTTTCTTTTCATGGAAGTTGGATGAGTACCAAATATGAGTTGGTTGAATTTTCTTTCATGCAAGTTGGAAGAGTATTAAATATGCAAGTTGAGTTGGTTCCATGTGAAAAAAGGCATGTGTTTAGTGTGCTTATAGGAGAAACAATTTAACTCCTTAGGCTAAGTGAGAGAAGCAGCCTAGTTGAACTTAAAAAGTTATTTTGAAATTTTAATTTCTTATATTAATTAAATGTTCTCAAATATACAAAGCTCTAAAGATTTTTGTGAAGGTTTAAGCTCAAGATAACCCCAATCAACATCGCTTAATCTTCACTAGGAAGCAACTTGAGGATGATCGTTCCCTCACCGATTACATTATTCAGAAGAAATCAAAGCTTCTCCCTGTTCTCTGCCTCTGCAGTGGTGCTAAGAAGTGCAAGAAGAAGCCATACACCAAGCCCAAGAAGATCAAACACAAGAAGAAGAAGGTTAAGCTTACCGTGCTGTAGATTACTGAGTTGGTGACATCGAGAAAATGTCACGTCTTCCCAAGGAGTGTCCAATGCTGAGTGTGGAGTGAGAACATTCACAGCGAACCACTTCGATCGACATTAGTGTGGCAGGTGAACTCTTACCTTCGTGTACAAGAAGCAAGGTGGGTAATCCAACTCTTGGCTTGCTCCTGAAAGAATTTGTTAGATTTTGGAAATAATTGATGCGGAAGAGATTCTTCAACATTTATGTTCTAGTTTTACTTTATAAGGTTTCTAGTTGATACTTAAATTATTTTAGTCAAACAATTCATGCAAACTCTCTTTAGGGCCTTGTCGTCATATTGGAAGTTAAGGTTGTCGTTAGAAAAAAGGGCTCAAGAGAACCTCCTCTAAAAGAATCTTTTTATGAAAATCATCTCAAATAATTTTTCTTAAGAAAAATAAAGTTAAAACTTTTTTCATAAAAAATTAAAATCTTAAAACCTTTAACATTAAACCTTAAAGTTAAGTCTTTTATAAACCTTAAACTTTAAAACTTTTTTCATAAAAATTAAATTTTTTAAAACTTAAACATTAAACCTTATAGTTAAATCTTTAATAAAAATTTAAACTTTAAAACTAAAACCTCCAATAAAGTTCAAATCTTTTTCAAAATCTTAATATCTTTCTAAAATTAAAAATCTTAATACATTTTTCAAAATTGAAAATCTTAACATCTTTTTTTTCCATTCTTAATACTTGCTTCTAAAATTGAGAAAGTTCTAACACCTTTTTTAAAGTATAAGGCCTCTTAAAACTGTTAACATAAATTTCTCAATATTAGAACTTTCAATAATATCTTTAAAATTCAAAATATTTAAACCTTAATATAAAACCCTTTAATAAACTTTAAAATTAAACCTTTCCAAAAATAAAACGTTTTTTTTTTTATAAACTTTAAATTAAAATCTTAAAACCTCAAAATAATCTCAAACTAAAATCTTTTTAACAAACCCAAAAATTTTCAACAAAACATGAGATTTCTTTAAAACCCTTCTTTCAAAACAAAATCAAAATTAGCTCAACAAAACCTAAAGAAATCTTTCAAAGTCTCTTATTGAACTCAATAACTAATTAACTTATTTAAGTTTTGGAAAGCGCTTTAAATAAGTCAGCCTAGGCAAGACGTATATATTTACAGACATAAGTGTATACATGATGAACATGTTTCTCCCCAGAAGCATATGATTTTGTAGCATTAGCGTGATTATATAAATCTTGGGTCATTTCAAATATATATAATTCATATATAAGTTTACATTGCTCAAACTCTAATTCTTACAAAAATCCTGTTTGTATGAAAAAAAAAAAAATTTGTCAGTATATAAATGATTCCTAAATATGAAAAGTTTAAGTTAAATTATTTTAAATATAAGCCTTAAACGCAAAACATTAGAGGATAAACCTAGAAAAAAGAATAAAGAAATGCAAGATAGGGTGATAACTAACATTTTGAAAAACACATCAACTGATAACCTAAGAAAACTAAAACTTTAAACCCTTAGAAGAACCCTAATTATCACCACAAGTGAAAAACTATGGAATTAAGAAAATAAATTAATTGAATATCAAACCAATGAAATAATTAAAATTGACCAAATCTAATTTTCATAGCCACGTCCTAGATTAGTTTCAAACTGTGAACCCTATCTTAGCTAATGTAGAAGAAAACTTAGGTTCATACACATCCTAAAGTTGTCCAATCTAGAAGCCTATGTTAGTTTAATAGGTTCTCAATAGATAAATTAAGGACTATGACTTATAAAATAAATAGCCCACCCTCTTGGATGATAGGGGTGCCTTAGGAGGAAGTAACTCATGATTACTGATGAGGTACCCCAAATGACCTAGTAATAAGACGGTCTACCTTAAGTCATTGCTATGGCAACAAGAGAGATATCCTATTATTTAGTTGGTTAATAGTCTAAGGATCTTAATACATTCAAAACGATGAAAACCCACGAACATCTTGAGCAAGGGAGTTATACCCAAATTTAGATTAGTGAATTATTGGCCTCCTTTTTAGAGTTATTTTAGAATAGGGCTTCACCTCCATCTAAAATACCGCCATCCTTTCCTACCCCTTAGTCTAGGATCAAACTCAATTTCAAACTTAATATAAAACTAATTTTCAAAGTTCATATTAAACTCAATATCAAACTAATATTCAACTTAACCTTAATTTCAGTGCAAATCAACTTACTTCTAACTCAAACTCAATTTCAATACAAATTAGTCTAACTTAACTCAGCCCAATTTCAATCCAGTTCAAACTCAATTTTAATTCAAACCCACAATTTGAACTCAAACCCAAAATACTGCAACTTTATTATTAAATTGCTTGGCCCAGACCCTACGGTTTCAAAAATCATAAAATAAAAAAAAACAAATTTAATAAACTTTAATCAAATTTTATCAACTTCAAACAATTTTAATGTTAAACAAAATCATAAAAACTTAAACCAAATTCAATTCATTGCAAAACCTTCAGATTTGAAAATATTAGTCTTCAAAATCTATCATCTCACAGATACTTACTGATGGTTGTTAAAGGTATAAGTCAAAAATTTAATCGAGGGTATTCTTGACCTAAAATGTAATTAACTATGAGGGAACCCCTCATATGAGTGTCAGACCGCATAATAAAACAAACCTTATCTTATACCTGTAAAGTATGAAAAAAACATTGGTTCCATAGACTTATCTATATCAAAGATATTTTTTTCATCCAAGTGGTTATAACTATTTTAAATAATATTTCTATCATTCAAAAGAGCATATTACCATTTGAATCTCGAATCTTTTGAGCTTTATGATTGATACACCATTAAAAAAAACACTATCATATACATTTTAGGATTTACTCCATAATTCTTTTCAGAGATTCTCATGCATCTTATAGTACATTCTCTTATAAAAATTGAATATTTATCTAAGAACCTCACACTTATCAATTTTTTTTTCTTTTTCACTTGGAAACTTAAACTTTCTTTGCTCGACTCCCAAATTCTTCTAAATGGACATTCTCAACTTCAGACGTAAAAATACCATTGGTTACAAACTTAAGTTTAATTAGCACCAATATGTGTTCTGGTTATTAGCAAGACTAGATATATGTTAAAAGAGTTTATTTGTTAAACTCCCTTTCAGGATTTAGTGAGGCCACACTGTTAGTCATTTGAACACTTAGCCCCTAAATTAGCAATAAACCATTCGGACTGAAGCACACTCATATCCAATGAAGTAGAACATAAGCCATAAGTAGCCAACATACCCAACAGACTTACATAAGACCTGATGATTTTAAGTGAATGGCCAAAAAATTTCCCAAGACTCTAAACCAAACCCTATGTTAGCCTCAGCCTAATCAAACAGCATTCAAAGCGCACTAGGTTGCATGCTCAAGGTGATCTAATATTGAACTTGGTTTACCACCCAAAGCCAGACGAGCCCTTTATTCAAACCAAAACACTAAGTTCATTTGTCCAATTAGACATTTGAGTCAACTTCACAGTAAATCATCGACCAAAGTCAACACACTGACAATGCATTAACTTCCAAGGCCTTCGCCCTACGACCACGATCAACCCATCAATTGAAAGTTTAGTATCAATCAAGATATCCCAAATCTTAAATTTGGTATCAAAATCATGAATTTTTATCTCATTTATATCAAATTTACATCTAAACAATCACCACTTCGAAAATAAACTAGTGAGAAGATAAATCAGTTTATTACCTAAATTATGAAAATAGGCATGCAAAATGAGCTAGTAAAGAAATTAATCTTCCCCAAATTTACTTGAAACCCAACACGAACATCTATATATATATATATGAAATATCCATTTTTGGTTGCATCACCATAATCGAGTGAATTTTGTGGGACTCGAGTTTTGGTTATACAGAATCCAAAATACAAAGTAACAAATCATTGTGCAGAAACTAAAAATACTTGAATCAATAAGAATAAAGAATCTCTAAAAAATGACAGTTGATTTAAAATTAGTTCCAACGCTTTGAAATAATTCTATTCCATACGATACAAATGGATGCTAAATTAAGTTAGAATGAATGGCCAAATGTGAGCCGTAGCAGTCAAACAATACTGCAACTTGAATCAGATGCAGAAGAACAAAAGTTGAAATCATTCTACCCTATACCCAACTTCCCCCTTGCAATTAGAGGAACCTAATATGGAGGCACCAAAGCTTTCAGCAACTAAACCAAAACAGCAGTTAGTTCTCATACCTTATCCTTCACCGCCAATTAGTGGCCTGTCTTTCTCCTATGCCGGCTGAAGTCTGAGACGAAGCGAAATGTCAACTCACATCCAGGCTCCCTGCATGAGTACGGCCGTTCACCAGTGTGCACTCTTATGTGCTCTGTACGAGCCCATGCCCATTTAAATGTCATCTTGCAGCCTTTCCATGGGCACTTTAGGGGCCGGTCATCGGAATGCACCTTTCGATGCTGCAACAAATACTTGTGTGAGAAGAACTTCTTCCCACAGCCTTTCTCTGGGCAGACATTCCGCTTGTGCAAAGTCAGGTCATGCTTTGTCCTGAAACTCATGCTGCAGCCCTCAACATCACATGAGAAATTTTCTTTGTCACAAACAACAGAATTATGGGCCTTCTTAATCTTCCTTTTGTTGTTTTGCTTCTCAGGCGCAACTACCACAGTTGCCTCACAATAATTGAACCGCCCCTTGCAAGGCTGCAAGCTAGGCGGTTCTCCGCTGGTTCCTTTTGAATGTGATCTAAGACACTTAAGACTCCTGCCACATTTGATGGAGATATCATCCTCTGCATAACCAAATGCTGCAGAGCTGTCAGGCCTAGTATGTGCAGCTTTCCTAATGCAACTAGCCTTCGATCTTTTCCTCTTCCTGCCAGATTTCTTCATAGCAGCAGCATTATTATTTGGCAAGTTCCTTCTGAGTAGACTTGCTTTCTTTTTGTTCTCTGAATCAGTGTCAGCTTCAGAACTCAGATTTCTGTCTTGTTCATCATCAGTATTTCCAATACTCTCTGCACACCCAGCATCACCGGAGTCTACAAGCTGGGTACGTACTGGTTTTCTAGTGTTTGATCTGACAGCTATACTCTTCCTCTTCTTATCAGATCTCCTTCTGGCCGCAGCATTGTTAATTTTCAGGTTCCTTTGTTGTATAATTGTTTGTCTATCACTCTCTATATCAGCATCAGCATGAGACCTATCTGTATCTTGGTCACCATCTGAATTTTTAGAATATTGAGAATTCTCCTTTGCACATCTATGATTGCGGCAATTGTCAGGAATAGTGTGTGCATGTTTCAGAGTGTTTGATATGACAGCCGATTTTTTCCCCTTCTGATGAGCTTTTCTTCTGGCTGAAGCATCGTCTATTTTTGAGTTCCTTCTTGAAAGAATTGCAAGTTTATCATCCACCATATATGCACCAGCTTCAGACCTATCTGAATCTTGGTCACCATCTGCATTTCCAGAATTGTCATCCCCAGATAAATCATCACTGGAGTTGAGTCCGGTATGCACAGGCTTCCTGGTACTTGATCTGACAGTTGCTTTCTTCATTTTATCAAATTTCCTTCTGCTTAGAGAATTGCCATTTTTTGAGTTCCGTCTAGGTAGAATTGCTTGTTTATGATCATCTATGTCTGTATTTGCTTCACATGCAACTATATCTGTGTCACTGTCGGGTTTTCCAGTGAGCCCGGGATTCTCCTCATATCTAGCATCGTCGAATTTGTCAAGCACAGCACGAGCAGCATTCCTTGCGCTTTCTATGTACTCTGATTTTGCCTTCTTTTTATCAGATTTCCTCCTATCTGCAGCCTTTTTGATTGATGATTTCCTTTTATATAGAATTTCTTGGTTCCCACTCTCTCTATAGCTATCAGTCTCCAAACTCAGATATATGTTGTCATCATCATCGGGCAAGTTCTGTTCAGCTAAATATGGATGCACTTGGTTTGACATCCACACCTTTCCACACCACCTTCCAGCAAAGATTATTTTTTTCTGCCTTCGAGCTATCGTTCCAGAGCTGTTTAATTCTGTTGGTGATTTTTGGGAAAATGACTTGTATATCACCTCATTATATGGCAGCTGTTTTCTGAACAATGGAGATTGGCTGAGGCTGACGCTGTAATAGAGATTAATGCCTAGTTTCACGGCCCAATCCCCATTACATGGAATAACATCCTTATCTTCTATAGCTATTCTAATTTTCTCTTGGTCTTGCTGGGAGGCATCCTTGTACTTGACATCTTTCCATTGATAATGGAGCCCCAACTCTTCAGCCAAGAGTTTTGCTTCAGATTCAATTTTTGGATATTCTGCAAATTGCCAATGAATACACTTGGACTAAAAATCAATAGTACATGGTAAAAGAGGCACAAACAATAAATATAAATGGAACCATATTTCCAACAAAATGCATACAAATTAAAATTACTTGCAGGTTGTCAAACAAAATTCAAAACAAATACATTGCAACATTATTTTAATAAAATTTTACCAGACAGCATCAAGGCATCTATAAGGAACCAAGGTTCTTAAGTTTATAATAAAAACAACAATAGATTCAAGTTAGTTGCGGCACAAGTTCAGCCCAAAGCAGATCAAGGGCAAACAATGAACAAATTCAGGACATCTCTAGCATATGGTTTTGACGGTGGTTGACGGTTGAACTAGAGAAGAGACCGAGTCTTATATACATAAACAAAACTAAACTCAAAAAAGAGAACAATAAATACTATGGATATGCCAATTATAATGACAAGAATAAATACGATGCTAATGTTTACATCTAAAAAGATTTATATGAAAAGGCCTTGCCAACACTACAAGCTAAATCTTTCCCTTCTTTCTCTCTTATCCAATGAGTGAACATAAAATATCTGAAGGTAGGGATAATGAAGTCAAACAGAAAATATAGAGATAGCCAAGTCAGGTTAAATATATTGGATCAGTTCTTTATTTAAAAGAATGCAAAAAGAACATCAATGTTTTGGTCCTTTCGGACATCATATTGTCATAAACAAAAAAAAAAAGAAACTCATTTGCAAAGCTGAATCTTACCAGCAAAAGAATGATAACAGAAACGATTTACAAATGAAATGGTTTACTAGCATATAATGGTCATGGAAGTGAGGTGAAGATCCTGTATTTCTGACGTAACAAAATAGGAAAAATAATAGGGGTCCTCATATCTAGCTTTTCCTGTACTCCAAAACATACCTATAAGCTCCCATGAATGAGCAAACACATCAAGTATTGCAGGTTGGGGCAAAAGTCTAATCAGGTTTCTGACTCAAATCTTTTTCTAGGCCAACTGATGCAAGTATGCAGAAAACTGTAGCATCAATACAAATTGGAGGGAAAAAACTGAGAAAAGTATCCATTTGCAAATCACCCATATACCCTTTAATAAGTACAAAATTATCCATTTCAAAGCTAGCATGTTTGGAGAACATATCAACTATAAGTTGTTTAATGGTTAAAGCACGAAGAAGAGCTGAACAAATAAAATATTTGAAGTAAAATTCTACAAGTCGCTTTAACCTTTCAGTTTCAAATTCAAATTCAAATTTAATTTAAGCTTAGATTCATCTATAAGAATACAATATAAAAGGCTATTAATTTGTATTTTATGTTGTGTTCGAATCATCATCAGAAAGGGGCCATTATCCGCACATTCTTTAATATTTGTAATTCTAGAAGAATATAAAGTCCTCTTTCCACGAAACGTATTATAATGAACTTCATCTACAATCCTTGGTTAAAGAAATGGTACTTCTATCTTAATTTTAGAATGAGGACTGATCACAAATTTAAATCTGACTAACCGTGTTTATTCTTGCAAATTGCACCTAAAATTCAATTCTTCAAACTAAATTAAATATTCATCAATAATTCAATTTCTTTTGGATTTCTGAGTTGTTCAACTATTCTAGATTAGTAAAAACATTTAAAAAACTTTGAAATTAATTTTAGTAGTCTAATTTTCAAACCAGCGTGAGTTCTAATAAAATCATTAACAAATTGTTTGCCACACAGCACTCCTAGGCAAAATCTCACCTTATAATTAAACCTTTGTATATTTAATGCACCTTTGATTATGCACGGAATACCAATATAAAAATCTTCATGTTTAGATACCGAATCACAAAAACATTCTTGCAAATCAACCTTCATTTTCTTATTGCGTGAACTCAATATGATGTCAGTCACAGTGAATCCCAAGGCCTCTTTCAATTTCATGATTCCAATACTGTCAATCATCATGATCATTAATAGAACAATTATTATAAAAAGTATTATCTCTATGTTGTTGTGTATCATTACGTTTAGGATCCCTATGGATTCTAGTCTATTCATATAGACGATGATAAAAATTTAGAAATGTCCTAAAGAAATTTCAAACTAAAAAGGTCCAAGAGCAACATCATTTACTGTAGCGGTATATCCTACGGTGCACATTATCGAGCATTTCAATGAAATCAATTAAGCTGTTTGGAAAAGGTGATTGTCTTCTATGGATTTATTCCTTATCAGGCATCAAGCAAGAAAGGAACAACAAAATAGAGACCTAAGCGAGATTATTTAAATTCGTTGGCACATTATTTAATTCTAGTTTTCTAATAAAATCCATAGTGGGATGCGGGCAATAATGTACAAACGGTTGAATTGAAAATTCATAAACCCATAACTTAGGCAACTATATGACCGTTCAAATGAAACTATAATTATGTAAAAAAAACTCTTAAAAGATAAATTTATGATCTACAAGAAATTTTGCATGGAAGTTTAGGAGCAGAAACTAAATATCTAATTGAACCTCATACACCAATTGAAAAAATCATATTTATTAAATTTGTCGATAATCAATTGGCATAAATCAACCACTAATTAAAGAATAGAAAAAAAAAGCGAGGCAATACAAATATGAAGCTATTATGCAATGCAACAACAACGACAACAAGCCTTTATCTCACTAAGTGGGGTAAGCTACATGAATCCATTCTCTCTATTGCCACCTATTATAAAATGCAAATAATAATATATAATAAAATAAAAAGGTATCTCCATGGTTTACTAGAAAACTGCGTAAGCTTGAATAATTATAAGTGATTACTTGCAAATTGAAGAAGTAATAAGTAATATGTTAACTTTAGCACAACAGTAGGGGTGTAGCAAGCCAACCCCAAATTCACTTGATAAATAGCTTGTGTGATGACCTTGATGAACTAATAAAATAAGTTGAGCTATCTCTGTTTCGACCCATTGGCTTGTGAGCCAGCTCATTTGAAAAATATTAATATAAAGACACTTAAAATAAATTAGGATTTAATGAGATTAACTATAGATTTGTAAAATATATTTAAAAATTATATATCACTTCCTTAAATCAAGTGATTTCTTATTCCTTTTTCTCTAATTCTCTCTTACTTTCGTTATTTTTAAATAATAATTGCTTGAATCAAAGTTTTTCAATGTTACAATATATGAATTGGCATAAGAGTTGACTCATAGAATTAAGCCCGAACTACTATATGAATTAACATTATTTTCTAATTCATAATAAATAAGGCAGCTCTAATGAATCATTTAGTGGATAGTTTTTTAAAGCATATAACCATAAAATTGAATTTATTCTATAAATATCCAGGAACCATCACATTTAGGTCCATCTTTCAACTTTATAAGATAACCTTTATTTAATACCCACTAACATTACTAAATATGATTTCATCATCAATAATAATTTAAAAAATAAAAATAGTAAGAAAATTTAGAAATTGTTGGTTGGATGTGAAACTTAAAGAAGGCAATGAAAAAAGATATTTGGCATAGGTCAAATATGATCTCATGCTCAAATTTAGCAATAATTTATTTTAGTTGTATGATCTATTACGTTTTAAACTTAGCAATAATTCACATTTGAATTAAAGCTTGTGTACAATTATGATCTCATGCTCAAAATGTGATTTACATTTAAATTTTAAGCCTCTACTCAACTTTAGATCGAACCATAAAAATATATACTAGTGTAAGTGAGGCACGGGTCTCCCACTCTAGATCGAGACGAAGGCCTCCCACGCGTAAATGTGAAGAGCGTTTGCTCGCCTAGACCAGTTTCGGTCCCTATTATCTTATGTTTTGAAGTGTCGGCTGGCACTCAAGCCCTCTCCTATTTATCCTATCAAAATATATTTGTATTTTTGTTATTCTAGGGTTAGTTTTTCGTGTGTTTTCTGTTGGGACAGTCGTCAGCATCTCTAAATCTTCCCTTCTAAGGATATGTCTAAAAAGACAAGTGGTGCTCCGATTGTACTTCGTACTGAGGTGGTGATTATCCTTGACTTTCCCATCTTTCGCAATCTTCCCTATGTTATTGTCGTCCTTTCTCCCTGTTGTTGCTGCCGGAGAGCCCATATCGACTGATAGTTCACAGATAAGAACAAGACTGTATCTACGACATTGGGTGGTGGCACTATATCTCTCCGTTATTAATGGTGATATTCCAGGCCTCCTTCGTCAATTCTTCGGGTGGTGATTTCTATATTCCGATCGGCTAAGTATAGGAAATTATTGTATATTGTATCTTTTATTTGATTTGTGCATCCAATCTTTGTTCTGACAATTTTTCTCCCATCTCAGATTACGTTTTTGGTTGTTCTTGCTGAATTTTCTCCGGCCCCTCTCTTCTCTAGTATCAGAGCCTGTCTAACCTTAGTTCTATCATAGGGTTACCAAATTCACCAATGGCTAGCACAATTTTTTTCCCCACCCTACATAACCTCTACAAACCATTTCACCCCTCCGTCTTTAAGCCCTAATCATGCCACCTAGTAGGCAATTGTTGAACACTATCAAAAGTTTATCATGAAAGAGATCCAGCGGGAACTTTATTGAGTGCTACAATGACTCACTAATATTGAGGAAATGAACCAGGAAGAGATCAACATTGAAGGTGATAGCGAGATCCAACAAGGAGAGGGAGTAACAAATAAATCCCTTCTGTAGGGATGATGTCAGTGGAGAAGAAGACAGGCCACGACACTTTGTCAAACAGTATCAAATGATGCCAAAAGATGAAGTATATGCTAGAAGATATATAGATGAAGTGTCTGTTAGAGAATACAGAGACTCTGGAGTGAAAGTGGACATATCATATTTTGAGAGGAGAGTGAATCTGAATGACTTCATAGAGTGCCTACAGACCGAGAGGATTTTGAATACAAGGATGTGCCAAATGATCGAAAAGTGAAGTTTGTTGCTATCAAGATGAAGAAAATAACCTTTTTGCGATGGAAGAGCATGAAAAGAGAGA